GGACACGTCGATGACAAGTAGCAAACGTATGAAATGATCCCCCCGCGTCGCTGTCATTTTTCCCCGCATCCAGTGATCCCTTGTGCTACCGCTACTCTGTGCTGGGTGGCCGGTGCCTTACTAACTAACATTTATCACAAATAAATGCTGCGAGGATATCGCTGTATAATTAGGAACCGGTAATCATATGGAAATCCCTTTATTACTGGGTGGACTTCCCTATCAAGCGTCATATTGGGAAATGGATGCATGGCTCCTTCCAGAAGGATACTGACCAGATGACCCCGACTAGGAATCTCTTAAACCGGTCAGTAGGTTTGAACTTGTTTTTACCGACACCTGTCCCTCTGGTCGCTATTCCCACTCCGGGTTTTCCTCGTGGGTAGGCTAAATCTTTTCCAAGTAACTCAATTACTCTCACAAGCCTCATGAACCAGCGGTCGTCCAAAGCCGAAAAGATGTTCTGCGCTGAGTGAGTGTTGGTAGTTGTTCGGGTCAGTTTAACGTGTGAGAACTCTCGCATCAACACTGGGCATGAGTGTGCAGGTGGTTGACGGAGGGTGGCGGCCATATCAAAGGCGGCCGCGGACCGCACCGCCGCTCTGCGACCGTCTCAACTGCGCCACCATAACGCACAATATGCTAATTATAATAGTAAAAAGCCGCACTAAACTGCGTCAATAACTGAGATAATGAAATGTGAATGGTGGAACGACGAAGCGCCGACGACACTCCACCATCACCACCACGATAGCTCCGAAGCCGACACCGCCATCACCAGCCATCAACGACGCCGCCGACGACGAACGGCATCGATTGATTAGTCGAGGTTAGGCGGAAGAGAGCTGGCAGCTTTTCGGGTTGAGCTCAAGTAGAAGCTCATAAAGAAAATGGGTATACCGGCGAAAACTGAGTACAGAGAGCAACTGTTGGCCAGAGGTCTCAAAAATCTAGCGATAAGGTGATAAGCTGGACAAGGATGAGTACAAGCGGAGAGCTGAACTATGCAGTAACTGCATCCAGACTCCAAGCACATGGAAGAGAATACTAATGAGGAAACTAGCCAACTGATCGGATAGCGAAAGCTATGAGATCAAGGACAGCAAGATTAGACCAGCACTGGGAAGTCTGCAATCGTGACAAGTTGCCTCAATTAGTATTCTCTTCCATGTGCTTGGAGTCTGGATGCAGTTACTGCATAGTTCAGCTCTACGCTTGTACTCATCCTTG